CTGCTTAAATATTTAAACTGCATAAAAATTATGATTCAGCCAGTATGTAAACAATGTATGCAAAACCCCAAACCCCAACATTTACAGCAATAGAACAAAGCTTTCTCTTTAAAAAGGACTTCTCCCAGTTTGTTTCCAGACTTCTTTTGCTCCTTTAATGCTTTCTCTTTTCACACATTTCCAGTATCCTTGCACACCTTGCTGTTGTGGTACCTGTTAACAATATCAGAAGTTACACAGTGTTCTTCCACATTTACAAAGAACATTCCTTTCCTTTGTTATGTTGTTCAACACACAAAAGCATCTGACTAAAATGCTGCTACATCCACAATTCACATGGCTATCCCAAGTATTGCAATAAGCACATCACTACACCTACAACAATCAGCTAGCCCTCAGGACTCCCCAGTGTGTTGTAAATTTGATTTTATTCATCCTCTTGCTTTCTTGGTGAAGGTTTGAGCAATGATGGTTATTCTGTTCATAGACTATTTCTATTATTATTAGACCTAAGCCTGAACTTCCATTTGAATCAGGATCCAAAACTTTTCCACTAATCAGGGAGTCCAGGGGGAAGGGAAGACGGAAGGGTAGTGGGGAAGTTGGTTCATGTTAACCAGAACAGTGCCATAAAAGAATTAAAAAAAATGCTCATCAAGATTACATTCTTCCCTCTACCCCCTGAAAAAAAAAAAGTGAATGCCATTAAGGAAGTGGTTCCTTTGTATTTCCAGTATGGATACTAGAAATCCTCAGTTTCTCCTAAATTCTTTTACATTCTCGTGAGTACTCATAGATAACACTTCAAACAAAATTATACATTTGCTGTGTAAGGTGTGCCATGATCTCAGCCAACAGCAGAATGCTAATGAAGGGGAAGCATGCTCAGTGCAGGCATGTACACACACATTGCAACCCTCAACAAAAAGTCATGAATAGTGTATTTTCTTAGGTGACTTTTTCAGTGTTCTTCATTTCACATCAGATGGACACACATCATACTGTACATTACAGACCTGTAAGCAGCATCTGAATTTTTAGGAGCAGCATAAGATCTAAAAAACGGGGCAGTTTTTGTCTAGAACTCCTGAATAGTAGGATTCATCTGCGTCTTTCTTCTATTTGTGCTTGCACTTCTACCGGCATTTATAAGAAAAGTTCTATAACGCCCCAATAGTAATTTATTTTAGATAACGTGAATGTTTGTTACCCTTAAGCCTCGATGCATCCTGTTCTTCAGAACTCCCAGAAACTCGCCATGGCTAAGACAATCATCTCCATCCAAATCAAATATCTTGAAAACAGTGTCCAAGACATTATCGGAGAGCTCCTGTGCTGTAGCCACTTTCACTGCTCTCTTAAATTCAGCTAATAAAAAAACAACATTATATTGCATATCACCATGAAATGAAGAAATACTAAAATACATCAAATACTAGGATTACATACCAATATATATCAAGTCTCCTGGGTATCCTCCCCTATAGTATTTAGGATGTATGAACTAGTAAACTATATTAGAAAATCTCAATCCATGTGCCCTTGAGCTTGCTTTATATTTCAAGGCAATCTTTACTGCTTATATTATGGGCTTTTAAAATATGTTATTTCTTCTGAAGCAACAATAAAAATGGTAATCATTAATTTTTGCTGAAAATAGCTGCATATTTAAGAATTAACTACTTTTGGCTGACATGTGCATGTGGGTTACAAGCACTTGCCCGACAAAAGGCTTATAAAAGAATAACATTTTATTTGGAACCAGTCTCAAGCTGTCTAGAAGATGTTTTTCGAAGGACTTGGTCCACCTCACCCAACAATCCTCTAACCTGTAGCCACCAAAGGCAGCGTTTATAACATAGTTTAGTGTGCTTTTGGTGCTGCGTTCTGTAATAGGCCTTAGGAATTGCACTGCCTATTCCTGAATGTGTAGAAGAGAAGAATGGTTTAATAGAACTCATGGGAGAAAAAAATTATCACTGCAACTCTAGCCTCCAGTTCTCTTCCTAGTATTGCATACTCCTCTTTTCACATTGTTTTAATCTATCTGTGTTGCCCAGAGGCAACAGGCTGGGGACAAGTACTTCCGGGATGAAGGATTTACTTTCTTTTTAATCATGCACAAAGGGCTCACCAGTCTTGGCTTATCAGAAATGTGCACAGGTAAGGGTATGAGTGTGGAGAACAAGGCAATACGCTGACCATAAAAGCAGCAAATCATAGCACCCTACAGCCTAGCCTGCAACAAGCATTTGTAGACATCAGCTAGGGACAGACACTCAAAGGAGCTTGAATTGATTCAACCTTTGCAGGTTAGTCTAACCTGCCTAGGCTGAACCAGTTTGTAGCTGGACAAACATTTGCTCTGGACTGAGAAAATGTCGGCACATGCCCGCAGTTGTTCAGGCCAGGCACCGGGGGGGGGGCGCTAGAGCATACCCTCAGCTGCCAGGAAGCTGTGCTGGGGGGGCGTGGCCAACCCAGGCTGAACTGGGCAGAGAGGGGTTTAATTCCCCCCTGCTGGTGGCACAGGGAGTAGGGAATTAAACCCCCCTCTGGCCAGACCCCCACCCCTACCTGTCCCTGCTTGGGCTGGGGAGCACAGGTGCAGGGCCAGCCTGTCTGGGCTGGAGCAGAGAGCCCCTCCCAGCCCAGAGAGCAGGGTGGGATGCTGGAGGTCTCTTGTTTTATCTTAAACCAGCAGAGAAGGCTGAGAGGTGATCTTGTGGCTGCCTATAAATTCATCAGGGGAGGGCAGCAGGGAATAGGAGATGCTCTATTTACTAAGGCATCCCCTGGAGTAACTAGGAACAATGGCCATAGATTGATGGAGAGCACATTTAGGTTGGACATTAGAAAGAACTTCTTCACAGTAAGGTTTGCCAGAAGCTGGAATGGGCTTCCAAGGAAAGTGGTGCTCTCCCCTGCCTTGGGGGTCTTCAAGAGGAGACTGGACAAGCACCTAGCTGGGGTTGTCTGACCCCAGTGCTCTTTCCTGCCCAGGGCAGGGGTTCGGACTTGATGACCTACTGAGGTCTCTTCCGACTCTAACATCCATGAATCTATGAATTATAGATTTACAGATTTTTAAGGGGAAGCTCCTCTCATTTACACATTGCTGCTTCTACCAGCAGGTCCATGCACAGACACTGGATCTTTATACAATCTTTACAGAGAGTTTCCGTATGGAATCTTTATAGAGTCTGTTAGTAGCTCTGCAGTAAATCCAAGTTAGTTCTAGAGACTGTTAGAGGAGAGAACACTCTTGAAGTGGTCTTCAGTGATGAACAGAAGATAATTCAGTAGGTCAGGGCTCAGCATCCAGCCTTCAAAGAACTCTGATCCAGCCTGTGGAGGTCTGATCTAGAGGTGGGTGAGAACAGAGTGCTGCCTCCCACCACCTCGCACTGCCGCTTCCCAGGAGCAGGTCCAGAGGGGGCTAGAGCAGCGGTACCCCTCTGTGGGCCACACAGGTGCCGCCCAGCTGGCCGGATGTGAGGGGGAAGGTGGCATGCTGTTCTCACCATCCACTGCCCACGCTGCTTTTGTACAGCTGGTCGCACATGCAGCTCCATGGGCTGCTGATGGGTGCTGCATGTTTGGCTATGTGCAAGGCCCATCAGCAGCCCACAGAGCGACATGTGGGAAAGCGTGGTGCAGCAGTATGGGGCAATGGGTGGCAGGTACAGGCCCTCCCTGGCTCTGCATGAAGCTGCCCCCTCCCCTGTCTGGCCACCAGGGGTACACTTCCTAAAAAGGTTGAAAACCCCTGCAACAGGTTGTCAACCCCTGCAATAATTATAGTTCAGCCAATAATAGTGCCTAAAATTTAATTAAGGTAATCATGGCTGTACAAAGGACTGTACCAGAAGCTAAAAATGACATAAAATAATGAAGCATTATTTTTTAAAATTAGATATTTCTTATGAAGCATCTTTATGTTTGTCTTTAGAGTTTAATCCTTATTGTAAGTATAAAAACTGTTTAAGCTGACTGATTGGAGAAGATGTGAAGAATTCTAAACAACATAGGAACTAAAAAGAGACTATAGTTAAACGGCCTGGTATAAAAATCTTTAAACCCATTCTATAGCTGGTAAAATGTTAATGGAAAGCCAGACTGCTAAAAAGGAACCCAAAGAACAAACAGCTAAAGACTACAGATGTAAAAAAAGAAAAAAGTGTATGTAGAAGTATAAGTTGAAGTATATGAAAAATAGGAAGAGAATAAAGCAAATAGTTTTAACTCATAGTTAACTGTGGACTTCACACAAAACAGTGAGGCCTTTAAAGAGCCTGGCAGGATAACATCTGCAACTACCTTAAATAGGAAGTAACATACTATGGAAAGCGCTATTTCAATGCATAAGTTAATTAGTAACTGCCTGCTGGTCAGGAAGAAACTTTCCCCATTAGCACTTAGTCTTATGGTTTTAGAAGCAGTTTTCTCCAGCCACCACCAAAAACCAGAGACCCACAACTGGTCCAACTCAAAAGGACGACTTCTGAGTTCCTAAAATTCTCATTGATACTTGACAGGTCTCGAGGTAGGCCAAATCCAGAAGGTTCACCACAGGTTACTGATATTAAACACAGTAATTTCACTGTCCTTTTCCGTGTCTCATGTGTGCATGTATGTGCACATGTGTGTACACACGTTCTGAAACTTGTAGGCATCAGATAAAAGTAGACCCTGGATTTCAATTATACTGGACTGAATTTTTAAAAAATCAAAACTGACTGAGGTTTTGCAAAACCTGGATTATTGTGCATTACCCATTACAGGGCTAGAACAAAACCAGGGCTGGGATATTTTTTTAGTGAGTTTCTCTTTTATGTTGTCTCTCAGTCTATAAGTCAGGGGTAGCCAAGCTGCGGCATGAGTGCCACAAGTAGCACGGGGAGTCTCTTTATGTGACACATGGCAGACTGGGGATGGGACAGACAGCATAGCTACAGATAGTGCAGGGAGCAGAAAGCAGAGCAACATCTCTCATGTGCTTCAGTTACAAATGAGTTTATTTGAAAAAGAAGAACAAAGTTCCTACAGGCAGATATTTGTCATTCTTAGTAATGACAGCAGCTTCTTTCTTCAAAATGTTGATATTTGGTTGTGAAGAAATTTCTTAAGCAATTAATATATAATGATAGACATACATTTTGGGGAAAAACAGAGAAAGTGATGAATGAAACGAACAAGCGAGAAACACAGCGGGGTTATAACCTGTTACAAGAACAAACCCCTACTGTCAGTTTCTTCAGAGTTAATGGTTTTATTAACATAAACCTACTATGCAAGTAAGCATCTCCATTAAAATCTTTAAATCAAATCTATTCACTGATATTTCAGACTCTTGTGAGTAATTCTATGAATCATATATAACAGCACACTCTGGTATTTAGAAATTAAATTGACTTGTGGTTATGGGCGCATATGTTCTTTATGTACAGTAAACACATTTGTAATAAAAGTTAATCAAGTACTAGTTTTCAGAGTTTGTAGTACTAATTCAAGAGAAGTTATTTACACTGATTTCTATGCAGCATATTTTCCTCCTACATTTAAAGGTATGTACACAAAACTGTGTAAAACTTACCCCGTTTAACAGGACGATTGGCTACTGTAAACATTTGCATTGCAATAGAAAAGTCTTCCAAATGGTTTGTAAACTTGCAAAAAGTCTTGAATTCTTCCAAACTGATATTCTAGAGTACCAAATAAATCAAGTTAGGTATATTAGAAAATAAATCCAAGATCAGGTAGATCTGTTTACTTTGCAACCTAGTATTTACATGAGACAGTGTTGATCACTTTTTATGTTTCTATTTTCTAGCTGTCAAATAATCATCATCCTTTTGATATAAAAATATTTTTCAAAAAAGTGACAAGAGCTTCTCTGTCTGCCAAGATGCACATTTTTGGTTGACAGTTTCATAACTAGAATCTTGCATTTGAATTTGAAGTAAGGAACAAAACAAAAATAGTATACTAACCTCTCCTGCCTGGATCCTCTCTTTCACATTATGCCAGTAAATTTCATTGTTTTCCTCATGAGTGAAATATAGTAACCATTCTGCAAAGTCCTCTTTTCTCATGAAGTTCATGCCTTTTGAAAATTGTATGAATTCCATTTCTTGCACTTCTGTTTGTAAATTTTCCATAAATCTAAAATGTAAACAAATACAGTTCAATATTTAACAAAAGTACTATTAAGTAATACTTTTATTACCACTAACATAGCTACTATTTAGGGGAAATAGGAATTATTTAGATAATAACAAATACTAGTGTGCCACTAGTTTACTTTATCGTTGATCTAATTTTACCTGTGTATGTAAAGATGTTTGCAGTGATGTGTGTTTCAGTAATTATACCACTAGGGTGCTCTCTAAGTCTTACATATATTACTGGATACTGCAAAATGAAGTAAATGTACTGATATGTTAGCATATACTTAATACCTTGAGAAAAGAATATGCAGCAAAGTGCATCAAATATGATTCTGAATATTTTCAGAAATACGGTTTTAGACTATTCCAGAAGATTATGTGCAATTTTGCTAGCCAATGATTAAAAAGAAGGCTGTCTATAATGTAACCTGGCAAAAATAGGCTATTGCGTAGCAATCACAAGCTACATGAACCCCAATCATAAGAGGTGAAAGAAGAGAAATGTAAAATCACATATAAGGTCAGATAGAGCAAGAAAGGTTATAACCGTGACGAGGGATTGGGAAATCAGGCATGTGATCATTAGCATATGGAGTAATATGGCACTAATATGACATTAGTACTACGGCAAAGGATGTCACAGATATTTGGGAATTAAGAGCATAATCTGAACAAGAAAGGCCTGAACTTTATGGGATTTGTTTTTTCTCCCTACAAGGTAGATAAAGTATGAAACATAGAAACTAGAGGCCAGAGACCCTAAAACTTATAAATATAGGGGTGGTTTTGAGTTTCTTTGATTTGGGCTAGATGATCTCAATTATTCCTTCTGTTCTTAAAATCTATGAGCATGGCCTGTGTTCAAACATTTCCCATTTCCAGATATCTTTTATTTCCTATTTTATTAATTCTGTTTTTGTTTGTTGGCCACATTTCTGAGTGGTCACATGGGACATAAAAGCCCCTTTACCATGTCCCTACTTTCTTTACTATGCCTGCAGGTTTTCATACAAACTTTTTATTGATCTGTAATAGCTAACTATAGATAGGACAAAACCAAGTACCTTTATACTAAGACAAAACAAGTACTTGGAGAAGAGAACAGCAGTCAGGTGCCTTAAATAGTGGTAGATACTCCTTTGCTTTTCGTTTGTATGGCCTCATTTTCATTGAAACTGAGGCATTTTAGTCAGTGTAGCTATCTTTAGTTTTTAATGAGTTCACTTGGACAATTAGCAGTTTGGAGCTCTGTGTTGTCTGTAGGGGAATGGCCTCTGCAACAAACTCCCTATTGTAATTTCTTCCATATAATTAGAGTGGTATAGGCAGAGTTGTGCCTGAACAAGGCCTCATTGCTTAGGAAATGCAGGTGAAAGACAGACAGTGCAATGGATTTTAAGTGGCAGGCTCCACATTTATTAGCTAAACTCCAAGAGGAGTTGACTGGTGCCAGTCATGCAGGGCTTCAACATGTAACCAGTAACTTTGACAGACCTCCCATGACTGCCTGCAGGAATCTGTTCAATGAAGAACTCTAACCCACCTGCTTGTGAAAGCACAGAGGAAATCTCTGATTGAACAACACCTTAAGTACCCCCTTGCCCTTAAAGGTACAAATTCTACCAGTAAAACCCTGGTTTCATTTACCTCTAGGAGATGACCATTTTAGCCTTTATCTACACTAACTGTGAGATATATGAATGTACTGAATATTCACATGAGAATCTAAACTTTCTTTTTCTTGAATCTGCTGAAGGCAATTCATGCACAACTTTACCTAATGTTCACATGGCAACACTCTTACCCACACTTATG